ACAAATTGAAATAATTACTTAAAATTAAAACTGGACTTCTGGAAGTATACATTTTTTCTGAAAAAAAAAAAATTTATTTATTTATTTTATTATTATTTTTATATTTTATTATTTTTATTTTATTTATTTTTATTTATTTATTCCCTATAAAACTTAGAAAAAATAATAAGATTCAAATCTGTTTTCAAAATTAAAATCGAGCATTCGGTACAAAGTAAATTTTTTCTCAGCTTTTCCGACTTTCATAATCTTACCAAAATTGAGATATTTTTAATCACAAAATAACCGAAGTGAATGAGTTTAATTTTTAAAATAGACTCATCCAAAAAAAAAATAATAAGAATAATAATAGTCGTCTTAACTCAAAAACATAACATTTTTACTGCGCATTTGCATACCGGAAGGTAAAATCCAGATAGTAGGCTGGCTACATGGGAAACTACCAAGGACGCACAAATCCCACACCATTAAACTTGGATTTTCATACTAAATTTAAAACCTTTTGTATTTAATGTATATGAATATTGTTGTATAATTGTAATAATTGTATTTACTGACGAATTATTCATTGGTTTTCAATACGAGTCGCAGCTCAGAAGTATAGAATATAAATTTAACATAACTAACGTATGATGGAAAAGTGTATAAGATAAATTATACAAAATCTAAAAAGGAAAAACATTTTTACAAATTTAGCTTAAGAATTAAAAGATGGATCCTCGTTGCCATAACGCATTATCTTATACAGTGGTTGGTTACAGGAATAATTTGTCGTACACAGTAACATAGTGAAAAGTTAGCGAATCTGTTATATATAGCACAAATTTCGAAGAACCGTTTGAGTATCTTATAACCCATCCATGGTCACCCGTATCGTGCAGATACTTGAGTTTAGAACGTAGATCAGTTAGCTACTTCCGTTGCATAAGAGTAAGATCCTCATGATTCTATGTATTACTCCAGCACTCAAAATTACGTAGTTTCCGTTTGTATTTAAGAACCATAGGGACATCAGATGGAGAATTGAGCTGAACAACAATAGGACAAAAACAGGATCCAATTGGGCCAACACGTTAAACTGAGATTTAAGGACACTGAATTAACAAGTCCCAAAATAGGTCATCAACCAATACTTTGTTAGTTTCCTAAGTTTCATTAACCGATGGGGAATATTAATTATCGTGAAATTGTGAGCCTTTGACAACCTCTTAAGAAATTCTTGATATTTGTTAGCTTAGAGATGGGAGGACCATTATAGTGCCCAGACTCCAGCTTACTAACTTTTTCATAAAGTGATCTTACTTCAGAAGCTAAAGAAGCTTTTTTCTCCTTAACAAGGTTTAATCAGTGGTAAGATTATCAAAAATAACAGCAGGAAATGATTTAAGACTAATCCCAAATCCTAATATATTATTTACGATTCTTTCAAGTTTACTATCATGGGAAGGTTAAATAGTAAAATACTTAAATACTCGCTTGAATAGAAATCAGAGATTTCCAAACATAATCTAAAGTAACTACTTTCTTAACAGTGGATTTCGTATTTATTTGTTTGCTAGAACGAGTGGACATAGGCGTTATAAGAATTATTATATAAGTAGAATGAAGTACCTTTAAGGAAACGAAATGGGCAAACGATTTGACTCAAGACACTCAATAAGATAAAAAAAATAGCTTAGAAAACAATATTATAGACCACTTGAATGATGAACAGCTGCATCACGTAAAAATTACATTGAGGTCGATCGCAGAAATCGACCACTAATCAGCTATAGTGTAGTTGAGTAGATAAAATTATGTGGTAGATTTAGCACGATCCAGTTTAAATATAAAATAAATTTCTTATCAAAAACGATAACGACACTAGTCAAGACGGAAAGCGATTAACGAGACACACGAAAAAATAAGCGATTAGAGGAGGCCCAGCGACACACGTCTGACCGTCATGAAAGTCGAAACTATACTGCGAATTATAAAATAGTTTTCATGGACTCGTATTATGTTATACTAAGATAAAAAGTACAATATTGTGCTCGTGAACATATGTATTTTTGTATTTATAACGGAAAATCGAAAACACCGTTTATAGGCAGTTATTATGAGATTCTCTTAACCACTTATAAGTTCTGAAATTTACAATGGTCAAAACGTTGTTGTCAATTTGATTGAAAACTGAAAACTGTTGACAAATAGGTAATATTATCATAACTGTAAAGAGCGCCACTCATTTTTTTGGCTTTGGCGCAATAAGAGCTAAAACTGCTACTACTATTACTACACTAAGTGAAAAGCTCCCAAATATGTCTATATAGAATTTATATACCCTTAGAGGCAAAGATTTTAAAAATGTTTAATTCTATTCAATCCAAAATTGTTTAATTGAGAAATTAAATGTATCTTAAACATGTGAATATACGGTATAAGCTCATCACTAAAATATTAGTACATATATAATAATACAATGTATGAAATATAGCTCTATTCCGTTTGAATCTTTGCCCTCGAATTTTAACATTCTTTTATTTAATTTTATTTTAACAAAAGTATACTTGCAATCTGTAATATTATTTTACAATAATTAAATTTGATAACACATCATACAATATACAAGTAAATTAAATAATGTAAGCAAGGAGGTCCACCGGTTTGGATAATCTTAGACTTGAGAGAGTAAAATTTATATTTTTAATTAATACAAGTTAGGATTCAAGAGATCTTAACACCAGTATCTTTTTAATCGGCGTGGAAGGTACATCATGAACATTTAAAATACTAATATATGCAATATAAATATGTATCAACTTACTAGTTATATAAAGTATTATTCATAATGAAGACTTACATTGACATTGAATAAAAGTTATTCTAAATGATAACAGGTAGACACAAGTGATTCAGTCATTTCCATACTAACGATTGCAACATTATTAATAATGTAATCGCCTTGGGTTCAAAACATACAATTGATTTGAAAAATGTATGTCACATTATTTTATGATATTTATTTATAGAAAAAAATTATATTTTGTTTAATAAAATATATTTTATTACAACCCTTTTTATACAAATTTAAAAATTAAATAAATATTTATTTTTATTTAATTATAGATTATAAAAATCAAAAAAATAATAATTATCAGGTTAATTAACATAAAATTTTTACGAGAATCTACATAAAACAATACTTCATCAAGTATATTAATATTTTTTACCATAAAATTATGTTTGTCTACATAATTTCAACAATTAGGAATCAAATTAAAACTCTTTTACAAATTGAAAGCAATCACTATGCAACTGTTTTTATAATCATTATTTAGTCGTGAGATTTCAGTTTTATTCTTCTTTTCCCATTTTTCTCTTTTTTTTTTTTATAAATATATGTGTTTATTTAATGTGATACTATACTTTGTCATTTTTTTTTAAATAAAAGACATATTTCACATTTTGACTGATCTGTTTTCAAATTGTCTATTAGGAGACAGTTTTTCTATTCTATTCTTCTCAATCAGTTCTAGTCCCTTGTTTCAAAAGTCTGCCTCAACTAGTGGCATGGCGAAATCAGAAATGTTCAGTGTCCTCAACATTCGCATTTTCGCAATCTGTGAAACGTTTTTTTGTCTCACTAGTCTGACTGTGTATATACAAAGTGTGTGAGCGAGGTTCCGAACAAGCCTCAATCTGTTTGATAGGTGTAACAAAGTTCAAATAAAAGATGGACTGTATATGTAGTTTCTTATTTATATGTATTTTCAAAATTAAATAAATATCAAGTATTGGTTTACAATAAATTAATAACAACAAATTAATAATAATAAACAAAGATTCTTACCACGTACTGCGCCACCGCAACACTCGACAGTAAAATCTTACGTGAGATAATAATAATAAGGTTTTGTGAAATAATCACGTGGCAATAACCAACGCAAGAGAAAAGACGACACGACATCGCAGTGGCCCATACATATATGTTAAGCCGGCACGAATCATGGGTGGCTACGAGGGGGGGCCAACCCCCCCAAACCCGTACCGTATTTATAAAAAAATCTATATTGTTAACAAGAAATGCATATTATAATATGGACTATTATACGATATGCACAAGTTAGAGCCATAGAGGTATGATGGTTGAAAGGAGTTTCTCCACACTTCGGAGACTACAAACCTGGCTTCGTTGAAGGATGACTGATGATAGACTATCAGCATTATGTCTAATTATTGTACTTATATCATAAAGTAGATATTCTAGAAAAAAAATAAATATAAATCATAATAATCAATAAATAAAAATAAATCATATTATTGATATTTTTGCCAATTTTAAAAATAGACGACTTGAATTTGTGTTGTAAAAATTGTTGTTTTGTTTTTGTTATAAGATTTTGTATAATTATAACTTGACCCCTCTAACCAAGGCTCAGGAGCCACTCCTGGTACAAATAGGTTTGTGGAAGAAAGGGGATTTATCGCGTCTAGAAAATTCGACCGTTATACAGATGCATGACAGTTATGACAGTTATGACTGGTGAAATTTAAAATTATGTACATTGGATATTAGTGTGTTACAATTATTTAAATATTTTAATTTTACAAAGGAAGGTAAGAATGACTTTGGTGTTGTTTTTATTGAGGGCTTTTTGGATTGTAAAAAGGTTTTAGGGTCTTTCGTAATCCTGAGAATTTTTGGCAGTCGACTATTATGTGTTGGATTGATAGGTTGACTCTGTAATGGCTGCTTCCTCTCTTTTGGAAATGCCTAATAAATTTTTCCATTATTGGACATGATGTTTTATGTTTCTGAGTTTGTTTAATAGATGTACGGTACTCCAATTGTTCTGCCAAAGGTCCATTGTTGTATTTTTTATGTTAATTATATCTGATGTAGTGATTTTGGTGATTTTTGTATAGGACTGTGATTTTATTGCTTCGTTAGCCTTAGAATCTGCTTTTTCATTCCCGGGAATTCCTACATGTGAAGGAACCCATATGAATGAAATAATTCTGTTCATTGTAAAAAGCAATCTTTGAATTAATTGCACAAGTTCATTCTCAGGGTGGGGATTTATAATTTATGTGATAGCACTGAAAGAATCATTGGGAATGATGGTTTGTCCAAATTTAAAGAAAAGACAATCTCTACTGCTTCGTATATTGCATATGTTTCAGCTGTATATATACTTTTGTTTTGTGATAAAGAGAACATATAGATTATAATATTTGCCTCATAATTTATATACATATATTTTTTTTTTTTTATATTTTAAGGCATACAATCTGTAAATAAATTATTACAATAAGTACGCATGCGGAAATATATATTATAGCTTGACATAACATGATAAAAGCAGCCACCCAATGGTGACACTTTATGACATGATTAGGTTGAATTTAAATTTACCTTTATATATTTAGTTAATTGATATTTAACCCTTCGTTAGTCACGTGGTTATTTATAACGTCATTGGTCGCGTGGGTTACTATTGTATCCCATCAATTTTAATCCTTAATAGTAAATTATGGCTTGATTAATACTTTTTTTAAATATATTATAATATTATACAACACTTCCAGAATGTGTATATATAATATTTAGTCCAAAATTACCATACAATTGTTCATAGTAAAATATAAAGTTATAAAATGCATAATATTAAATATCTAATTTTAATAATACTTTTATTTAATCTTACTTGGACAAAATCATAATTACAATAAATAACTTGACTATTATCTATACACACTGTTATTATACAGCTTAAAAATAAAAAAAATTACAAACTAAAATAATTAAACATTAAAAAAAAATGATTTCCGTTAACATATGAAATTAATAAAAAATTTATATCATAATTATTATTTAACGAATTTATTTATATATTTTAAAGATTATCATCCATTAAATCATTACTAGAATCCATGCAACTACTACATACCTTTGAGTAATGTTTTCCACATACCCAATGATTGCACTTATCACAGAAATTCCTTGTTATTTTATCTTCCGATCTAGGACAAAAGACACATCTTCCATTTGAGCCAGTTTTCTTTGGGAGATTCTGTTCAGTTTCTACGAATGGTATACCAGATATACGTGCAGCTTTGTGCCGTATTGTTCTTGGAAGATTCTGCATGGCAGCCCTTTTAAATACTTGAGGTTTAATCAACGACATAGACAAGTTTCTCAAATATACGCGACGTTTTAGAGTATTTGAAGTCAATTGATCGCAATGGTACAACATTTCTGAATTAATTCCTAAAAAATAAAAATAAAATAATAGATACATCAAAAAAATGTTAGACAATATTAAAAAAATATGAAAGTAGTATTATAAGCGTATAATGTATACCTGCAGTATTGATAAGATGAAAAAAAATCGTCAATGGCCATCTACGATTATTTCTTCCTGCATCATATGAACCACACATTTCATCTACCATATCAACAGCGCCTTTGGTGCTGTTGTAAAAAGTGATAATTTCAGGTTTTCTAGCATCATTTGTTGATTCGTCTATAGCTGCGTCATGATGCATTGATGATAAAAGTATAACTATTTTATTTGGCTTTGGTTTATAGGATAAAAGAGTAAGGTCTTTCTGAAAACCAAATATAGTACTATTTAGCTCACGATTTTTTGAAAATTGCTGTTGGAAAATAACTGGAATTTATTTTTTATTTTTCCGCATCGTACCAACTAATGTAATTTTATTTTTCAATAAATTTTCAGCCAATGGAATACTGGTATACCAATTATCTGTTGTTAAGTTTCTTCCAGATCCTAAAATTGGATTCATCAATCGCATAACTACATCAGATGGAGAGTTTGAAATATTATAAGGGCCAACTGGTTGCTTTGCACAGTAAACTTCCATATTCCACGTATACATCATTTTAGCGTCAACTAGTGCAAATATTTTTACACCATATTTTGCTGCCTTATTAGGCAAATATACTCTGAATGGGCACCTTCCTCGAAATTTGACCAGTTGCTCATCTATTGTTACATATTCTGATGGTGAAAAACATTTTTTACAATTTTCAACAAATAATTCGAAAAGTTCTCTAATTGGAGCTAATTTATCTATTTCACGTCGTTGAATACGATCACCCTCAGACATAACCTCAGACATCGAAGTAGAAATCGGAAACGCTTAAGGCTCATAGTTACATGAAAAATTTCAACGCCAAAACCCAACTAATCCCAAAGGTCTTCGAGATTTTGCCGTCCTGAACGGTTTACGCCAGCTAATATCAATAATCCAATTAAACTTTCAATTTCACTTTCCGAGGTTGGATTAGCATCTCTTTCTCTTTCGAAATTTCCCACGATAGATATTATATATTTATTAGTACAACTAGTAATTATACGAATAATCACGTTATCAAATAATAAATGAAAATATTCTGCAATGTTTGATTTATTTTTTGCAACTGGTTTACACCCGGGTAAATGAGTTATAATATTATGAGATCTGGTACGTACATTACTTGGAAACATATCTTTCAACCATTTAGTTTTCTTATCTTTTCCAAAATAAAACTTAGACCTTGATAAATCACTGCCAACTTCTAGGTCATCTTCGGTTTCTGAAATGTCGTGTTCACTGTCACTTGATTTTCTTTCAACATTATCCTAAACATAATCATCCACTTCATCGTTACTCATACAACCCACTTCATCATATCTGATGATGAATCATTTACAGCATCTAATAAGCTTAAAATACGGTTTTGTTCACGTTCATCCATAGTGAAATAAAAAAGAAAAAAATTGCAAAAATAATAAAAACAAATATAATCTACACCATTTTCTCATCAGTCGACGAAGAGGGTTACCAGGAATAGTGTCGGAATCATCATCATTTATATACTAATATTAATCTAATTGATTATATAAATATAAATAAGACAGTTTCTTCTCATCTATCCCAATACAATTTTGATAAAATAATATAATTTATGATCAATTTAAATTTATACTAGCATAAAACAAAAATTAATCAATATGTAATGACATACATATCATGTTTAACGTAATTTCTGACGTAACCTTCGTAACATTGATAAAAATATGGATTCGATCAACAAAATATTTGTCACTATTCAGCTTACAGATTTGTTTAACAAACAAAATTAATTTGTCAATTTATAATCACCTAGAAAAATTACAAATATTTATTTATTTTGATTAAACTTATGCAATTAATTTGATAATATTATATCATCATGGATAACATTATTTTAACAAAATATCTAATAAATAGTCTCAATCAAATATTTCATTAATATAAATAAATTTTTGATAAAAAACCATAAAAAAATTGTTGACAAGACCTATTGAACCTAGCTTCTAAAGGTAAGTCTTCAAAAAATCCAGGTAATTCATTTTGAAGGAAATATAGTAACACATTTCCACTTACATAAATCGGATGATTGTATTATTTAATGTATTATTTTTATTTAATATTAATATACTTACGTAATAAAGTAATTAATACAAACCAATCAACTAACATAACCAAAACAATAAAATATTAAATTTTATTAAATTGTATACGCTTGATTAGCAATTGCATAATATAAATTATAAACAAGCTTATTTAAATGTATCACAATAAATCTAAGTCAGATGTATAATTTTAACCAATGTCCAATGCATACATTTATCAATTACTGTATGTATGTATAGTACATTTTACATAAAACACTATTAACTATTTTATAAAAAAAACGTAAATAAAATATTCAACAAAAATTCTCAAAAAAGTTTTATATTGGACAAAGACAAATTTAGGTTTTTACAAAAGTATAATAATTTATAATGTAAATACAATTTTTGTTAGACTGAACAAACTAATTTCTTAACTTAAAAATATAATAATAATACGGTTTTATACTTTTATCATTCAAGTACATTTCATTGTCAGAATGAATGACAAAATAATAATAATTGATTAAAAAAAATGTATATGGAAAATAATTAATACATATTGTTTAGTGAATATAATAAGATTTACCAAATTGACAATTTACTATCGGTTTAAAAAAATAAACTACTGCAGTACATGAAATATTTTATTAATATAACAATATTAAATACTATCATATTTGTATTAATTATTTAAATTATTATATTAATTTTTATTATATTTATATTTTACAAATTTTGTATCATTTTGATAAAATATTGTCAGCACAATAATTAGTTGATTTATTAATTATCTACAAATATTTTTGGAAGGTTTACTAATAGCATTTCTTTCAGTATATTATAAATAAGCACTAAATTTAAACTAAAGATCATTAAATTAATTAATTAAACTAAAGTCCAACCTGCAAATTATAATTTTAGTATATTGCCAAATAAATATTTTATTTTGAAAGTAATAAAAAGTAAGTGTAATAAGTAAGAAATAACGGGAATCAAAAATATCTAGTAAATTCGATTTTCTTAAATAAAATATAAATAAAATACATCCTATTTATTTATGTCTGCTTTTTATTTTATGAAAATACAAATATTATCATATCTTTGAGTTTCTCAGAAGCATTATAAACAATTAAAATTAAAATTAAAATACATATATTTTTTACTTAGAAATACTACTAAAAAAAAATATAATTTCTTATACTAATTGACCTGTAAATAATAAATTCATCAAAAAATAAACAACAGCTATTGCCAAGTAATTTATAATTTTGTTTATGGTATTCCCCTTATAAACATATTGAGTTAAGACAAATTAAACTAATTCATGATTTAAAATTCTAAAAAATTCTTACATTTGATAAAGGTACATTCAAATGGTATTTAATCCAACAGATAATTTGTTTACGTGAATCCAGTCAATTTTCTTAGTAAAGACACGAAAAATACTAATAAGTACAGCAATGAAGCATATACTATTATTAACAAAACTTTATGTGCATAGTATAATCTGAAAATAATAAAACAATAAATACACATTAATAATTAATAATTATAATTTTATAAATTGCAAAATTGCATGAATGTTTCATCAAATTCAGATAATATTTTATATAGTAATTCAAATAATAACAATAGATTAAATTGGGTTAGGTTACAATAAAGTAGGTTTGTTTGCAACTTTATAAAGAATATCTAAATCTGATAATCTGAATAGAATTCATAAGCGAAATGTTTATATCATGATTATTTACAGACATTTAAATAACTATATTATTACATCTTATTTTAACAATTAACTAATTGTATTTATAATTAACCGTTGACTTAGGGCTTATTTCATAATATGTCATGTATTTTTAAACGATGAAACTCACTTTTCCCATTTTTTCCTTGCTGCAGGTAATGTGTGTAAATCATCTTTTACGAGGTAAACTCTTAATCCAAGACAATGTGCTTGGCAAAATTTTTCCCATGAAAGTTGGTTTATATCAAAATTAAACAGTTCTTTATCTTGACTATCGAGATTCTCCCACAACTTTAGTATTTTTTCGTTGCTGAACTTCCAATTTCTATTAGCGTAATATGCTAATATAGCATTAACTTTACCCATTTTTTTATAAATTTTAGTCAACCTATTTGAAAAACACAACATATACAGATATAATAATTATAATAAAAACAGCAGATATTCAATACAAGTACAAATAATTTAGTAGAATTATTGTGGTAGAAAATCATGATGAATGTAGATTAAGTAATTGTTTCAATTTGTTTACTATTTTTCGGCGTTTTGTGGGTTATAATTATTTATTTATTAAAAAACGTAGAATTAAATCGAGGGGGAGGGTAGTGAGAAATTCTTAGACCTAGTAAAAAAAAATATTATATTTTATTTAAATTATTACGCACATAGGTTTTTGTCCAGTTAATAAAGCCAATCCGTCCAATATATACCCTGGTATGATGTGATAAAATATATTCAACAAGGAGAAAAGAAATTGATTGTTGGTCGTTGAAAAAGAAAAGTACCAAACCGCCCGAACAGAGGGCCATAAAATGCCATAACGTCTATTCATTTCAGTGAAATTTCTCCAAGTGATTGGTTTTTGTTCTGAACTTGAATACGTGTATATAGGAATTTCATTCACTTTCCTGTAGTTATATAACACAAATAAATAATATTATTTTTAATAATAAGTAGAAAAATTAAATTAAATTAATAATAAGAATGCTCATTTTGCGAACGTGCTAAATTCTTGATTTATTAACATGTTTTAAAGAATACATTTTAATTCCATATATAACTCAAACAGAATTTGGTCACTTACGCGAAGAAACCTACACGAATTAAATAACTTAGTTTGTAAATAAAGTTTTTATATTTTAGTAAATAACCTATTTTTTAATAATGGTTAATAAAAATTCAACTATATCAAATTCTCATATTTTGATATATATTATAATAGTAGTTCATTTGAATACCTATATTCTATTATAGAATAAATAAAAATAATAATGAAAATAGTGAATTGTATTTAATTTTCATGATCAATAATAATTGTAATATTCAATAATATCAAATAATACAATATTTATTAAAAATAATTTCTGAAATTTGATGCTAAATAATTACATAAAAAACATTGGTTTACAAAAATATAAAAAAAATACAGAGTATTTTTCCATAAATATATAGATTTATAATAGGAAAAAAATAATTTGGAATGTTATGTAATATAATTGTCAAATAAATCACAGTAAACAAGTATTAAAAATGCTAAACGATTTTTCATGTTTTAATTTATTAATTCACAAAGCTTTGTGGAATCTTCTATTTTATTTATAATCACTTAATTTTAAATCATAATTAGAAAGATAAGCCCACAGCAGGCGCATAAACAAGTATTTATTTGGGGTAGAAAATAATTAAATTTTTTCAAAATGGTTGGGGCTAAATTTGTAATAAAGTGGTATATATCGTATGTTTTAATTCGTCGTTACTACAATACAATCCATGGAGGAGAGAGGGTGATTGCTCCCCTAAATTACGTGCCTAGCCCAAATTAATATTTCGGTTCACTAGTGTTCCCCTAACTCAAATTATTGTATCAATACTGCGCTCTTCTGGACATGGTAACTTCGGAAGCACTTCAAATATTTTTAAGTACCTATTCATTGATAATAATAGCATAATTTACTGTAATATTGGATGTGCAATTCACGTGGGCTCAACACAAGATTTTGCTACGTAATTTTTTTTATTTAATGTTTAAGACCCACATTTTCTTAATTCGTGGTGATACTTTGAAATACACGATTAATATTATGTAATAGCTATTTTTAGTTTATACACAAATCAATCAACTAATAAACGAAAAATATAGATATTATAATTTAATTATTAATTTCAAACCGTAATGGATATTTTAAGATGTTAAATCAATAACTCAATGATTAAAAAATACGCAATAGATCTAAAATTTAGACTCTAAATGCATTTGCTTTGTAATATTTTAAGATATTAATGTTTCCTAATTAAATTTGCCAATCCATAAAAATTAATAAATGAAGAATAGAAAATAAATCATCCAAAACAAATACAGTGGTCGCCGCATATAGTGATCACATTCGTTCGAGAGAACTGTGATCATTATAAACGGAAATCACTATAAGCGCCGACTCGAAAATACATTTTTTTTCACTAATTGAAAGCGTGCTCCTACTAGCCATAATACAATATACAACTACATACTATACAAACAGTACACTGAACGACGGACGAAAACCAACTAGGCATAAAGTGTAAAAATATCGATACTTGTGAGAATAAAAACGGTTTCAAACATGTACGAATGTACGATATGAAGTGTCGCTTATTACGTGGGTTACATTAAATAAGATTAACTCGATTAAAGTTCACGATTAAGATAATTGTCATTCGTAATCGTTTTCCCTATACACAAAAAGAGGTGATATTATTGTAAATTATACTTATATTTTATATTTCTGATGATTATTTCTGATCACAATAACCGAAAACCTGAATACTGTAAGCGACGAAAAATGCACTTATAACGGCTGTTTGTTCCGTTCCTGGCATTTTTGATCACTATAAGCGGCTGATTCTTATGACCAGTGAACACTATAAGCAGCGACCACTGTATATTAATCCTCCCTTATTTCAAAATCTGCAAAATATACCGGGTGAAATGTACCATCTACCGTCAAGCCCGTTTCGCACACAACGGTTTCATCTGTACAATTAAGTTCCTTACGGATGTTGTTTTTACACTGGATGGATTTCCCTCGTAAATCGTCAATGCGACTAGATTTGGTTAGGTAATTTAAGCTAAGAGTTTACCGATTTGTTCCAGTTTCTTTGGCAGCACATATAAGAGCATTAATAGTCATGTCAACCGGTACCATATCAGATGTAGTAGTGGAATGTAAATAATAGGTATGAAGGACTCCAGTACCAGCTCCAACTATAATTCCAGTAGGACCGTATACATTATCTATCCAACCTCTTACTGGTTCTCGATAAGTAGCTATCACTGTGAAAATCGTATAATATGTGTTATAGAATTATTAATAACAAATGCTCATTAAATAAAACGTATCTAAGATTTTTTTTTAGACCTTCAAGTATTTATTCCAGCGATGAATTTGCCGAATATAAAGTTACCGTATTCGACGAAGTCAACATTTTCATTTACTATGTCAATTACATAAAATACTTATTGTCATACTCATAGTTATCGTGGACAAATTGTTTAATTGATAAATACATATTATTATTGCTTTTACTATAATTTGAAAAACTTAATATTTTCAAATTACTTATCATCAGGGCTTGTAAGTTACTTGAACATGCATTTGCATTTTTTTTTTTTTTTTGCTACATCGGAAAGCATGCTAAGTGAGATACAAATCCGTTTCATAACAATGGTAATAAAAATATAAAGTTTAATAAAGTATCTTTTTGCATATTTTGTGTGTATTAGCATATTTGGCATTTAGTTGATTTTTTTGAAATTATTATCGCATATTATTTTATATAAATTCAGCAAAATCATTATTCGTGGAAGTTAAAAAAAATAAGTTAAATAAATACTTAAATTCATTCTTATTTACTTTTCCAAACATGTTTACAAAATATTAGTATTTTATCAGTATTTTTATTTTGTAAGACATTGAGTTTAATAAGTTGAAAATAGTATCACGAAAACAATGTTATTACGCACCGCTACCAATCTCCTCTTATTGACAATCTGCATTGCAATCTATCAATTTATTTTCGTCGCAACGTGTGTTCATTAATTATAATTTTAATAAAATTTAATCGAAGAAATAAAATATAACTTTTAAAAATATGAGTAAATAATACTGATTATTTTAAAAAATGCTTATACATTATTTTTTTCGTGCATAGTTTAAGATTTTTAATGCGTATAAATGCATATTTTGATTTTATAGGGCATATTTTAATGCATAATTTATCAAATGTTGGTGCATTTTTGCATGCTTAATTTTACGTTTTTAAATGCATAAACTTACGAGCCTTACTTATCAATACTTGTATTGATGCTTTTAATCGTATTCGTGTTTCATTTCAAAAATATTAATTTTTAGAATATTTCCCAACATACAAATTTCTATTGCACTTGTTTTTTGTGAGCTCGAGATGGCAATATTTTTATTTGAAAAGGTAAAAGATTCTTTTTCAATTTTTGGTAAATTCCATCAACCCATAATTATTTTTTATAATTTAAAAGTCAATTGCACATAGAAAATAAATTCGAATTAACCATTAAAAATGTATAAAACAAAATTAGTTCATAAATGGCTGACTAATATCAGATATCAAGACTATCGACGGCTTTTGACATAAAATAATGGTTAAATACATTTTTTCACTTATAAGAAAATATTTGCTAATCAATGAAATTCTAAATAACATAAAATTAAACTATTATAAAAAAATAGTTGCTTACTTGAAAAGTGCTTACTCAAATAACTGTGTAATATAGGAAAAATAAAATTATAAATTATAATTGAATACTTACCAACAGTGGGTCGAAACACCACAATTGGAAGGTCTTGTGCTTCTCTTCGAATAGCATCCTCTGCTAAGGATTTCGTGAATGAATAAGTATTTGGTAAATCACCAATGATTCTAAAAATAGTTGTTGTTATATTTATAATTACTATTCTAATGCCAAAAATATAATTATTAAAATATTGATATTTACTTACTCTTTAGTCATTTTTATAAGTGTTTTGTCGTCATAAGAAGAAAGCAATTTAATAATATCTTCATAGTCAGCAATAGGATTGTAAAACTTTTCATAGATTTCTTTTCGATTACAATTTGCATATGCCGTAGAAATATGCGCTATGACCTAATACATTTAGATATCATAATAAAACTGTGTACAATATAAGTGTAAAATAGTGTAAAATATAAGTGTATTTAAAAGTATATATAAAAACCTATTTACAGATAAAATGATCATATCGCATACTTATTTTATATTTATTTCCTAGTTTATATTCTTCATTGTGTGATGAAATAACAGATTTTTCTATTAATAATAAGGTCAATAACATTTTCATATATTTATAATGTATCCATATTTATATATGTATACATTATAATTATTAAAATAATAATATTATAGTCTTTAAAAGTTTAATGTAATGATTCTAATACATTATTATAGCCTACTGTTAAAACTGGATCAATATTGTCAATAAAATAATAATATAATTTGGAGCGAAAAAATATATTTATGCCTGTGATAATGCTGATAATTGTAATCATTCATAATTATTATCCTAGTTTAAGTTTAAATTATAATTTATCAAATACTTAACTATTTAAATTAATATAAACAATTTTTACAAGATTTTTCATTCAAATTTAATAAATCACCGTAACCTCTTGATTTTAGAACTTTCCGTTCCTACCATTCACTTCATTCATTTAGGTGATCCTAAAGGCGACTAATCAGTTCGTAATTTTTATTTAATTAAAAAAATCTTTATACTGTTTCAGTAGTCAGTGAATCAATATATGGAATTCTACATTCTTTCATACATTTTCATTTTTACTAATAAATATTTAATAGCAGGATTTAATTCCAAATACAAAAATGAAGGGACATATTATAAATTATAACTTGCACTTATTGCATTGAAATAATGAACAACTGTATGAGGTACTGTCGGTCAATTTTATCATTCAAATTCTGAGGCACTGTGACTATTCTATCACCCGATAATAACGATCTACGTCTGGTAAAAATTATCGAACGACCATGTCGGTACAATTATGACTAAGCCTTCGACCAAATCCGTTAATATAATCCGATGAAATTAAATTTGGTTCGATAGATATCCGACGTCGCTCTAATCGACCGATACGGTCGAAAGTACTGAAATCACTTGTACGAATATAATATCTAATTTATTAAAATTATCGGGTGAGTTTGACCGACGTTAGTCAAATCGGCCGATATTGATGCTACTATGACCGTAATCTAAAACACATGGGCGTAACCTATTAAATAATTTAGCCTTCTTTTATACACGTCATAAAGTTCCATCAATATATTGCTTCTACCCTCAAGACATCAGTCTTTAAAATCTTAATCTATTTATTATATAATGTTATACTATAATATTTTATTTTATATTTTATGCTAACTTTACAACACTTGAACTTATTGTAAAACCTATATTTACAGATTGTTCAATTGCAAATAAAATATATATATATAAAATGCGTTACTATTAAATAAACTTTAAGGATAACATTTTATAAAATTATTTTAATACATTTTATGAAATCTATAAATTAATAAATCACAAGTCCATAACTTAACTACAATATAATTTTTAGTGATTAAAATGTTAGACTAATAATATGTTATTATTAAGATACATAAAAATAATTATAAATATAATTTTAAATGTTTCAATTTTTCGATTTGATAAAATATATTGGTTATATAATATGGATAATAATTATTCAATCATCAATTAGCATAAGTACATAATTTATATATATATATATATATATATATATATATATAGATCTTTAATAAATTAATCTCAAATCTTACTTTTAAGTTGGTTACTTCCTTAGCCAATTTGAGCAATTCTCTAGTTCCTAAAACATTAATGTTCATTGCTACACGTATATGTTCATCAAAACGTACAGTGGCAGCTCCATGAAAAATAACTGTTACTTCGTTAATCAGCTTATTTCGATCAGTGATACTAAGTCCAAGACCAAACAAAGAGCAGTCACCGGCTAAACCAGAAACTTTGTGATAATATTTGGGTACTTCATGTTTTAATCGTTTGAATAACTGAAATATAATTTTAAATTATGAACTATTAATTTCATGTTTAGTTGAAATGTTTGTACAATTCAATAAACATAACGTAAAATCTGATTTATTACAAACTATAATCTCCATTTATTCCAAGAATAATTTTATTTCCACCCGAATTATATTAACAGTGACGTTTAATAAATAAGTGAATATTTATACAGAAAAAACAATACGTTTCTAAAACAAATTTAATGCAATAAGACTTATTATATTTACCCTATCTTCAAATATATCTTCTAATCGTTGTTCAATGTTTTTGCCTTTTTTAAACCGGATCAACAAATAAATATGCTTAATATGAGGACACAATCTGAGCAATTTTTCCACAAGCATCTTGCCCATAAAACCTGTACCACCGGTTATAAATACTACTGCATTACGGAAAAATTCTTGTACTGGACTTCCAATTTCGGATTCATGAACTTCTCGAGGTTCATTGAAACTCCGTTCGCCCAAAAGTTCCAAAGGATCAATGTAATATTTAGAATTTATAATATCTTTGACAGGCACCAATGGTACACTATCTGTTTTCTTTGCTAAATCTGTACGATACAAATCGAGAGCCATACTTCAATACTCGATTTGACAAACAACTGTAACTACATAAGCAAACTGTTAATGTTCAAACATACAGAATGAGATTTAATAAATCGTACCAACAAATTAATAATGTATATTAATTTATTGTTAATTTATGTTTTTATTATTTACAATTAATAAATACCATATTACTTTCAAAAGTTTGATTGAAATGAGAATGGGTTAATAAAAATACATTTCATTGCCTGATTTTTTTTTTATATACCTACCTATTCATTTTAAATCTAAAAAATAGCGAAACTTCTAATCCAAGTAGATTCTATGACCACATGAGATACAGAGATTAGCGAGTGTATTAGTCTTTTATACTAGAAATTAATTTACCATTGATTTCTAAAAAACAATTCTTAATGAAAAATGTCCATATAAATCAGCTTTGTAAAATTATATTTTTATTATTGTCTACACAAAAAAATATATGAAAAATGTTGTTTCCAATTTTCAAGACTTAAGTATAAAAACTGAAAATGTTATGAAATTTTGATTGAAAAATGCTGCTAGATTTATTGATTTTATCAATTTGTTAACATTTAATAATCAGACGATCGTAAATCTAAACTCGATTTTTCTTTTCATTAATTAGAATGAAAAATTTTGTATACAATTTTCATGAATTTGCGTCAAACCTAAATTATTATTTCAATAGTTACGAAGTAAAACCTAATAAGACATTACAATTTAATTTTCTATAGTTCAGAAAAAAAAATAATATTTTGAAAATTATATTGTCTATACCATTGAAACTTTTATGCCTCTATGATTAATAGTTTTGAGAAGATAACGAAAATTAATTATGTAGATATAGATTACAGATATGCCATACATTATGCCACTTATTTTTAAAAATTTTCATAAGTTTTTCATAATTATTAAATAAAATTATCATAAAATAAACCATCAAAAGTCACCAATAAAAAAAAATGCAACTGAAAAGTTAAAAAAAATTTTTATAAACGTTACAAAATCAAATGTTGACAAATTTGTATACTCCAACAAATTTCTATGGAACGATATTAATAATTTAGTTATTATTCTAAAAATATAAAATGTAGAAAATTTAAACATTTACTGAATAAAATAATATTAGTACTATTAAAAAATTTCATAGTTCTGAAATATTTTAATGAAACGTATGATGTGTAAGGCATAAAAAATTTGGTTTGATAACTATATCAAACATCTTTATAAATATAAACTAGTCCATCTGACTCAGGGCCGTCCCGAAGATGAAAATCAAGCGGAGGGGGGGGGTGAATAATATGAAAAATACCGATTACAATTTTTTTACTCAATGTTTGTAGTATAATTAACTATATGTAGTCGTAGTTTTACTTTTTAACATACGTATAATGTTTAATATATGTGTCAGTGTCGCACGTTCTTAAAATTGATAATTTAGTTATATATATAATAAGTAGTTATATAAATTTTATTCGTATATATACTGTATTACGAAATATGTAATATTTATTTTCCGTAAGTAAAATTAGGTCCTTCTAGGCTATAATGAAACAAGTCCGACTGCTGACTGGTGTTTTTTTTTGTGGGGGGGGGGGGGGAAACACCCCCAAGACCCCCCTTCGGGACGGCCCTGATCTGACCTAATTTAATCAGAATCGTTTTTCCGAGGGCAATGGTTTATTAGTTTCAAGTTTAAATGACCAATACAATAATATCTTTCATATCTTTACATTTCAATCCAATCTAGGATTTATTAAATTCATTGAAATTTAACACTAATATTCAAAAACTAATTCTTAAGTTAAAATTATTTTATTTATCGACTATTTATAAATATTACATATATAAGTATACATTTAAATGAATATAGTAGTGTGAAAACATATATCCCCTGAAAAATATCGGTACATTAATCCTCTAATCTAAACTAATTTTAAATACCATTAATAAATAATTAACTGAGTTAAGTATTCGATTTTTAAATAAATAATTATTTTTTAGAAATATTCCGCTTAATTAAATACGAAATTAAAAATAGCAAAAGCATTTATTTTACAGTAACGTATAGAAGTTAAAACTTAGAAATAATTATTTTCTTAAATGTATAATTTTATTAAAAATATGTAAGATATTAATAAGATATTTTGATAAAATAACATTAAAAATTGTAACAATGACGTTTCTAAAAGGTTACTTTAATTACACTAACTATTTGCATTTTTAGATTATTTTATTTTATTTTTAAAAGTATACTTACAGTTAGTATTTAGTTACACTTCACTTATGATAAATATATGGACGAATTCAATAAGAAATTTGATAATTTTTCAGAATGAAATACTTTAGATGAATTACTACAGCGAAGTGAACGCAAAAACAAATTATCATTACATCGAAAATTAATTTATAATTCTATAAACTAATAATAGAGAGGGGATTATGAGCAACAGAAAAATATATTCCCATTCCTAATGAGTTTTTATACTCACATATAATTATGTTCTCGTATTTTAATTTAAAGAAAATTTATAATTCTTGCTATTTATTCATTAACTATTATTTCCTTATAGTATACAATTAATAATTTGCAATTTAATTAATATCTAATTCGTAAATTTTATATTATTACCACCATTATTCTATAGAATATATTCTAGTATCAACTACAAAATAAATACGGAGTCAATTAATTGAAAAGTCAATAACTGTAACTCATGATATAGAAAGAATTTTCAAGTGGATTATTTTTAATGTATTTTTTAGTGATTTTCGCAATTAATTTTGTTGTGTGTACATTTTTTTACTATGATTTTCAAAAATAAAATTTCAAAAAAACATTATAAATATTTTTTTTTTATATTTTAAGTTAGCTATTTTATAATGTTACATAATTATGTGCTACATAATTTCAAAAATCTAAATATGGTTAAATTTTCAATGAATAAGAGTATTTCATACTATGAAAAAACAAACAATTTTGAATTTATGCGTTTTTCACACTATTTATGCAAATTTGACCACAAAAACTGATACTATATGTAATATTTATATTTATTTTCAAAACTAAAAAATGTGTTCATCTTTAACTGCAATAAACAATAAAAAAATTTTAAGCCCAACATCTCTATAACGAAAGTAATAATAATTATTCATAAATTATTATTATTATTTTGGAATTGGTATCTCACGCACGCTATTTAATGCTATTTAGCGAATAATGCTTTACGAAGTTTTCGATAAATTAAGGAATATATAATATTTTATCGATAGCATTACATAAATAAAATAAAACTATATGATGTCTGGCCATTTTAACAATTTTCGAGGAAATTATTAAGTAACCCTTCATTGATTAAACTTAGAATTCAAATTATTTACCTTTTTTTTTTTTGTATATTTATACAAAATTTAACATACATAAAAAATTATAAAACATGATAATTGGTCTATTGATAAATAAATGCACATTTTAAAAAAAAATGTTAAACTCAAAATTGAGTAATGATCTTGGTACTTAGAAGTACCGTTTGTCAATTCAACATTTTGATCCTGGTACTAAAATGTACCATTGTTCATTTAGCACATTATTTTTTTACATACAATCTATACAAATCAAAAAACTATTTTTGCAAAATAAATCATGAAAATAGTAATATTATGCTTGGGTTATAAATAATACAAATTTATCAAAGTATGTAGATGCATTTAATATAATAACAAAAAATTGTAATCTTAAACATTTTATTACTATATATAATTTTAATTTTAAAAAATATACATTTATTAGGTAATTATTTTATATCATGAAATATAATAAAAAATTTTTTCTTTTATTAGAACCAAGAAATAAAACACAATTTGTTCATTTTGAACGCGGTTTTGACTGTATTGGATTCATTGAATATGCCTCACATCCTCCTCGTTCATATACATATTAACACGTTGAGTGCCGCGATCGACGGGTAGTCGACAATTTGTATAGGCATCTTTATGGCCTATTAATGTACTCGGTTATCAGAGAAATTCTTCAGTTTTTATACGTGGTTATTCAATGAAATGTCTACTTTCAACGGTGCACTTGGATTTTATTTTAGATTATTTTTAGCAAAGTAATTATTATTTTTCTCCAGGAAATCGTCGATGACGGCGAAGATGACAACTATATATATCTTTATTGTTATTTTAATATACAGTTAATTGAATAGTTATTATATATAGTATTTGTATTGCCAAACTTGTTTTATTTTTCTTATAATATAAATATATATCGCATCCATATCGTGTTATTGTACGTTTCGCGAAATGGACAACGTTTGCATCCATTTCGCAAAATGGAACCGCGGTTTCTCCACCTCACGTAATTACACAATATGGATAATATTTCGTAAAATGGATGCCTAAACCATCATCGACGGAACTTGTTCCGTCATTTGGAGGTCCATATAGCGAAAATTAAAAAAAACTTTAATTCCTATATATTATATTTATTCATAAAAATTAAATTAAATTATTATTTTTAAGTAATTGTTTTAAAAATATTATAATATAATACTTTAGTACAAACTATTATTTATTTAGACAAGCTTATGAGTTATGGCAATAAAAATTACATTTTAAATTACCTTTAAAACAAGCACATTTTTTAGTTTGACATTTGCCTTTACAATAACAGCTAAAAATACCTTGACCTCCAGTTAAAGAAGATACAATTTATCTTAAAGACATTTCTTTTGTTTTATTCACTTGCTTAATGTCAATGAAATTTGATGTGACTGATTGTATATTTCCAAAAGCATACCAAACTTTATTATGATTTATAATAGAAAATAATTCAAGGCATTTACATTATATTATTAATTTGTATACTTGCCTACTATTATTCATTACTATAGGTTTAAAATGTAATTGTATACGTCTATTACCACGTTCACCTCACTGAAGTTTTCGGTTATCTGTTTTCTATTGTTTTGGTGTATATCCTTGTGTATTATTATTATTCTGAATTTCGAGTTTATTTACAACATACGATATACTTGAATATTTTTATTATTCATAATTCTGATTTACGACTTTATTCACGTAAGTTTATTGTATTACTATTTAATATAAGAAACGTATTGTATTCTACGTTTAATTATTATTGCAAGTGGCATTATGATTTTTTGTATGATGTATTTTATTTTTTACGTTTATGTATATAAAAAACTTTTATTAAAAAAAGTAATTGTGAGTTGCAATTAAAGTGTACTTAAATTAATAATGTTTCATAAATAATAATATATTTTATTCGTAATTTAAATACTAAATGATAATAGTAATGGATTGGTATGTAGAAAAAACAACGGTAGGTAGGTTTTGCTGTGAGGGCCGACGTCGACACGTAGTCAACCGACGTAATTGCGGAACCGATTTCGCGATGATTCTCGGACAACGATAATCAATTACTATGAGGCACTCAACGTGTTAAATCCAGTGTATACCACTGTTACCAAATATTACATATGCGTTCACAAATAGTATGTCAAACATACCCCAAAAAAGCCTATGCCACCACTTTTTTGACTGTCTATCTACTCCATATGTCACCCTCAATTGGTTTGTACGATATACTCCTCACATAAAATTGTTGTAATCCTTTTTTTATCTGAAGACAAGGTATTTCGGTAGACACTCCTTTTTTGTTTTTTCTTTGCCATGATAGTTCGGTGCTAACAAAACTGATTTTGTATCTTCGCACTTAAAAACGCCATTTCCAGAGTCAGTTATTTTGAAATCTAAGTATCCTCTCGCTAATTTTAAGTTGTCATGAAGTATACACAACGACGTGTTAATATATTCTCGGGCCAATTTAGTTCCGCCGCCCTAGACGTCTCTTTCGGAAAGCCTCTTCACGGGCCGGCCTCAGCCCGCCACCCTCGATACATCTATACTGGAACATCACCAACCATTGGCTTCTGTGAATTGCCGCACCTTTTCCTCTTGCTCCTTGAGGGCTAGGATTGTTTACTTTGACATATATTTACACGGTTATTTTTCTAAATTTGGACCATAGTCTAATTCTTTTCTTATAGCTAACAAGGTACTTGTATTTACCGACGGATCACAGTAAATTTAAATGCAACATATGATTTAATATAAATATTTTTGCACGTGGTACTTAAAAGTATCGTCGATCGACAAAGAGTTAACCATTTACTAGTATTACGAGTATAATGTGGCAGACCTATGTAACATTAATTTAAAATTTAATATATTTTTAAAACTATAAATTGCTCTGATTCGTTGAAAACTAAATTAGTTTCAATTTTTTTTTCTTTACTATCATTATTACGTTATTTTTCAAAATGACAATCATAAAATTTCAACACAAAAATAAAATAAAAAAATTTTAAGTTTATTAGAGAAAGGCCATTTATCATTAATTATTATATGGCTATTATTATTATACTAAATTAAAAAAAATTAATTACACTTTATTGTTCGTACTAAATCATGGATTCAGATCATGACATGTATATCATGCTATGTATATTTAACCTAATAACCTTGTAGGTATCTGAAATATACATACATAACTTTAATAACTATAAAAAATATAAGTTAATAAAATATGATGCAAACTAAATACTAACAATATATTTTACTACTAAAACTACAAAAATACACATATTTGCATTTATGATTATTTGTAAGAAAAAATGTTAGATTAATTTCTTCCTATAACTTGCAATTAAAATTTTTATACCTGAAATTTGTATTCAAGGTTCAAGTTGATTTAATTAAAATTCAAATAAGATAGAAAAATCTCTTTTTGTTCACACGTCCACTTCATATTAACAATTTTAATTATTAATTATTTAATTTAAATTATTAATTAATAATTATAACTTAGTAATCAAATTTAAAATATATCAATTGGTTTGTTTATAAACCAATCAAGTCTAATCATAAATTAATATTATAATATTATTATTATATACATTTAAACATTTAAATAACACTTATACCAAGTATATGATGCATAATGCCTTTACATTATATTTGCTTACAGTAAATAAATCTAATATTCAATGTCAAATAATTTTTTTGGATAATATTTACACATAGATCAAATACTTGATACTAGTTATACTCTATTATCGTTAAACGTTGTGACAGGCCTAATATATCCATTTTTAATAGTAGTAAAAAAAATTAAAAATAGTAAAGGATAAAAGATTTAATCATTTATTATAATACTTTTGATAGGTAGTAAAGTAATTACTTTTTTAAAAAAAAAAATTATTGTTTTGAGTTAAACAATTTTAAATTTGGAAAAATGAAATATTAAAATAATATTACCAAGAATTGCATGTAAAC